CCCCTTTCACCCTCCTAATCCATGCTTGACAGGATTCCTGAGCACTGACTCCATGATGATGCGTCCAGAACCCCCTGGTTAGGGTGCTTGTATCAGCACAGGGCATGGTGGAGCAGTTACCAGGTGAAACAGTGCAAAGTCTTTCCACCTAAAGGTGTCTCTCAGAATGGGCACTCCTGTTTGCAGCAATTGCCAAGCGTGCTGGATGGTGTTCCCGTCATCTTGTCATCGCAGACCTCACATCATTTTGCGTTGTGTACAGAAGCTCACCAACTTTTTGCTCACGGGAGGGTTGTTGCTTATTCTGCGAATGATCTCTTGCTCAAATTGTTCTGCTCTTCCTGAACACCAAGGTTGGCCATGCTATTTCCTATGCCCTGAAAGATTACAGCAAGTCACTGAATTGCACAGTGGGATTGGGGTTTGTGGTCTATCCAGTGTAATGGGTCTCGATTTCTCCAGCGAATCATCGCCCATCTGGAAGCCCCGTTGTTGCCATGGGACAGAGACAACTTTCAATTCCATGCTGAAGTCACCCCATAATCCGATCAATGCCACACAGTACACACAGCCAAGGCGAAGACTCGTTCCCAAAAGGATACAGTTGCAAGGGATGTAAGGGGCAAACCCCAGGAGTCCAATTGGGCGACGAGACTCTATTCCCCACCCCCACCCCGGGCGCAATCCTCTCAACAACGCCCGCATCCGCACCCGCGCTCCGCCCACCGCACACACAAACTCCGATGGCGCGCCGAACCCTTTCCCACCTGGATCCGCGGCACCTCCCTCTGCGCCGCGCGGCCCGATTCAATGCCCCTCCGCCGTCTTCGAGGCGATCACCTTGTCGTAGGCCACGTACAGGGCGAAGGCGCCCAGGCCGATGCCCAGGCCGGGGAACAGGTGGCGGAATTTGACCGTCAGCAGCGGGTGCTTGCGCCAGGCCTCGAACTTCTCCCACTGGAAGCCCGCCATGGCGCGCGGCTTGTGCTCGGGGCCGGCTGCCCTGAGGCCGGTCGCGTCTGTTGCGCTGCGGGAAAATTGGGAGCGCCTGGGACCAAGGTGGGTCACCAAGTACGGTGTGGCGATCGGTTTTCCTTTTTTTGCTCCTTTTCTGTTTTTTTGGTGCATGTGAATGAATGAACGTCCTTACAGGCAAGATGAAAAATTCGACGGATTGGTGATGTCACGTGTCTCTGCTGAGCCCCAATAGTCAAATAGCGTCCCCTTTCTAGCAGTCTACACTGACCTTACAATGATTGGCACAACATCGGGGAACACAATTTTATGTGCATGTGCGTGTCAAGATGTGTTGCAGCCCCGGGAGACCACAACATACAAAGTGCGTCCGCGTGCGTGTGAGGGGTGGCGCTGGTCGCCTCTTTTTGGTCGTTTTGCTTTCGGTTTGGGTGTTTTGGCGCTACTTTCGCTTTTGGGGCGTGTTGTTGTCTCTGGGGATGGGGAGATGCTCTAGGGCACACAGTGTCGGGGGACGGCAGCCCTGCTGGTGGCTCTGACCTTATGGGAGTTTTGTGGGCTTTGTGTTGCTCCTGCCCATGATCCTGGGCACGAAAGGCTTTGACTTATTTGGTGTCGTGCGATGGTTTTGGATTTATTTACTTATTGGCTTCCTCTGTCCGGAAGTAAATGGCGCCTTTTATTGGAGAGGCCGAATTGATATCACGCACTTATCTATTCCTTAGAAAACATTGATAGCAATTGGTAATCTCACATATGACACCCTGGTCAAAGCTTCAAGTAATAATAATGAGTATTGCGCAAATGGCAGTACTTCGAATCCGTGCAATACGGGCGGAACGTCAGAGAATCTCAAGATCGGGGCTAGGGAACCCCAAAAAAGGCCCCGAAGAGGGTGACCTTGCACACGACGTTGCGCACCAAGAAATGGATATCTGCCACCGCTCAAACAGCAGGTCGGACCCGTCCCTGAGACGAGGCGACACCAGTAGGAAACAGCCTGTTTGAGATGCCAACTGCGATACCATTTTGACACAAATTGATGCCATCACAGCCCCTTTTATGCCATCGCACTCACTGTGATGGCATCAATTTGTGTCAAAATGGCATCGCAGTTGGCATCTCAAACAGGTTGTTTTCTACCAGTGCGAGACTGTGTTGCCGGGCTTAAAACCACCCGATCGTCGATCCCCACCGCGGATTCCACCGTCGAACCAGATGCGCCTACAGAGATCGGAAATCCGAAAATCAGCCGAGTTCACGATCGTGGTTCCTTTCAGCGCACTCTGCCACCATGGACAGGGTGCGCGAGGCTGGTAAAGCCACTGTGATAAGTTTGGAAGGAAGGCGCGCTCGCCCTTCTGCACACAAGCAGAAGATCGCCAGAAATGGCTGCGTCGGGCACTCCCTCCCCAGAGGGATGTTCACGACGCTTGGAAAACGCCACTGCCCAATACATCAGGCGCCAACCACGCAGGATACTGAAAAGCTAGCCGCACAGACACTAAAGGCCTCCATCTGCCCGTCAAAACGTTGTACGGCCGAGATTGGCGGGAGTTCATGGCTTTTCGAGAGGCATGCCTGTGCTCCCGGCACGCCACTTGCCTGCACGCTGCGACGTAACAGAGAGTCTTCAGCACATGCAGCGATAAATGGGCGAGTAACAGGATACCTAAGAACCTACAACAAGGGAAGGATCCTACACATGGCCGTGTGTCGCTGCACACGATGGGTCGAAATCCAGGACTTTGGCGATGGAGACAAACAGATCCCGGTGCCGTTTCTGCCAGCGCTGCACCACGACGCTTGTCAATCATTGATATGGAGCCCGAGTTGCGTGAGAAGCTCTATTTTCATGGCGCTATGGAGCCCACGGGAAAGGCTGCGCTCGAGAGTGGGGCGTTCCTGGACGCGGAATGCCACCGTCGGCCAGGCCAGCGCATATGCGCGATGGGTCAAATTACGGTCTCGAGGGGCCGTGTTCGATGCCTTGCCTAATTTTCTGTAATAATGCGTTCTCTAAAAAATTGACAGCATTTAAAGAACTCACAGGTGGTGTGTACTCTGATTTTCAAATAGAGGACATTTAATATGGGACGGAGAAAGTATTTATTCATTTCGCTTTTTTGTGTGGGGGGATAGGCGTTGTCAAGGGACAGGCGCCTTGCTCCCGTTCATTGCACGTTGACAAGCTCGTGGGCGCTCGTAGCGATTTTTCTGGTAATGGTTTTAAAAGTTGTATTATTGTCTGGGGAATTTCGGGGAGACAATCGAAATCCATTTACCAGAGGAACGTTCTCATAATTTAGAAAATGTTTTGATTTTTCATGCCATGCCCAGCGAATGTTCTTGCAATTGTTTCCATGGGTGAGTGCGCCAGCGGGCGTTGCTGACTTGCAACATTCCTCAAGACATGGATGCGTGCAAAGGTTGATGTAGCAACGAGGTGACACATCCATCGCCTGGCCTGTCGGAATCATGACCGATGCAGCACTGGTGTTTGATTTATCGATGGCAAAAAAAACTCCATGTTTCTGCTCAAAACGCTGAAATGGAACAGAGGGAACCGCTCTTAACCTTGCTGTGATGAATTCCAAAACACTATGGCGCCGTTTCTCGTAGGGTTTCATCGTACGCTGAAATAAAGCCAATCGCTTCGGCTTCAACAAAATAGGAAATTAATAGGAAATTGATAGAAAATTATTATGAAATAATAATTTAGGAATTTGGTAATAATTTAATAGAAAATTTGTATGCGGAAACCTGCACTGAAATCCAAATTGAGAAACAGTGGTGCCGCATGGACACATCTAATCCGAAATGGGGCTAAAACTCATTCCCATTCATCCAATAATTTAGTCCGCTACATTCGTATTTGATTTATTACACATAACCAAATCCATAAAATACATGGCTATAAACCGGCAGAGCAGATGCCCAAGAATGGCCCGCAGCTCAGAGGCACTTCCCCTTGCACGCCGCTTCGGCCTCCCTCATGTGTCGGTACACCTCTTCTTCGCCGAAGATGGCCTCCAGCCGGCCGCTCAGGGTGCCCACGCAGCCCTCGGATGCCGGAATGACCACAGTTGGGGGCAGTGAATCTTGAGCCCCCGAGGAGTTTGATGCGTGCATGAGCCCGGGGCACGTGATTTTGACGTCCACCGACCTTTCCTCGATAGATTCTGGGAACCGCACAGATGCCGGAAGGGCTTGCTAGCTCAGAACATTAACAGAGCATAACCAGAATATGTTCAAACCCCGCTGATTTGATTATTCATCTGTTGTTCTTCCCCCACAGCTTTCTACTGGCATTCTCTCATTTGGATGCACATTAATGAACAGTGAAGTAATCGCGGATCAGTGCATATTTGAAGAACATATTACATCAATGCTGCAAATCTGAATTCACTCACAAGTGGTTTAATGCTGTCCTCGTAAATTGAATGCTGCGCTGATGAGTGGCGCTACATTACCTAAGGCCAGTTCATTTTCATAACATGCCAGAGAATGGCAGAAGATGACATACGCCATCTTCTGTTTTCGCATTATAAATGGTGCCGAGAAATACGATGTGCTTTGATCCATTCAATTACACTGCATGCAGGACACATTTACTTGCGTAGTGCGCCATCCAGGCAAGTTGCTGGATCCATAATACCCAAATATTTGGAGGGAAACAAAGAAAAGACGTTGTCAGCATGGGATACAACTTTATCGCAAATACTTCGTGTGACGTGCGATAGTGCTGTGGCAAAATAATGCATCCTGTCAAGTTGCGTCAGGTCATTCGTGATACGCACATTAAAAAAGGCACAATTGCGTTAATAGTTTAGTAGAATGTATCAAGCTACGAACATATCCGGCGGTTTGCATTTTGATTGCGTCACATTCAAGGCACAAATTCAAAGTCGGTATGCTAATTTGGGACCAAACCTTGTATACTTCCCTATTACTTTTGGGGACCATCTGAACCAGTGTAATGACTAATGGGGTGCACAAAGTGTGAAACCTTCACATGCCGCGGACCTCTGCATTTCGCAGAAATCGGCATGCGCGCAGAAAATGCGCACAATTGTTGAAGATAATATATCAAAAACACGTGTCAGCAAGCCCAAGATTCCCTAAGATGATCCCATAGACTCATATGACCCAAAGAAACACTCATCACGTTACATGATCAGCAGTATGCAGCTTGCAATGGACACGTATGAGCGCCGCTCACACAACAAGTTCCTTTCAACAGTCTCTTTCAATCACTTTCCAACTTAATTCATCTTGGAAACACCATCCAACGCATCCATTCAGGCTGCAGCCGCTCACCCCAGAAGCACGTCCCGTTCGTGCCCTCGCACTCCTCTTCCGTCGCATGGAGGGCGCATTCTACAGAGTGGCTCGCCCCTATCCGGCTCTGCAGTTCGCACACCCTGGGCTTGTCTTCCGCGTCAACCTTCTTCAGGGGCTTGGCATGGCACCTCCCGCGTTTCCACCTGCACGGCCCCACCTGGCGCACAAATGTCAAGTGCCGTTCATTTCTGGACATGTGGTCATGAAAGCGATGGAGGTCGTGAAGATATGAAGTGATGCAGACCACTCATTAAGGAAATTCCGGGAGAAGACTCAGTATTGTTAGTGTTTTGTAATATCGACATTGCCCGAAATGGTGCTGAGGTCGAGAGGGTCGCGAAAGCATTTTCCGGCTTACGTTGCTTGTAGTTTTTAGGCCCTTAGCTCCCTAGTGCCCTTCGTGAACTTCATATTCTGTAGTGGCAGGCGTCGGGAAGTTCTCACCTGGCGGCACTGGCGCTTGGATTTGGCGGAAGGGCACTCGGAGGCCGCGCTCGAGTACTCTGGGTCGGGAAGGTCGTAGCACAGCGGTAAGTTTTCCATGATCTCCCTCACGCTGCAGAGGCAAGACGCCGAATCCCTGCGGAGGGCATATATTCACGCGTGCACGTATGCGAACGTATAAACACGTATCAAAAAACGCCAATATGCGTATACGTAGATGTAAGTGTACGCGTGCAACATAAGTATCATGTACGTGCATCGATCGGCGAGCCCATCGAGCGTGACGATTGGAGTGACGTGCATTAGGATCGTTGGGAATATTCCGAAATTAAATCATAAAATCAATGTTGTGAGGGCAGCAATCCCAGTGACTATGCCACCAGTGCAGGAGCGAGCCATTGCCCTCGCAACTACAAGAATGCCGACAACCTGTGCAAATTTTTTATGTAATTGTTTTGCAATGATCTGCTGCATGAAAGCAAGGGCTTCTAATCTGGCGAAAGTTCGGTCGATTTGATGAGAAAAGCCATCGAGGGTGAATACCATAGGGAAGTCGCTGAACCGGGACAATCGCGAAGATACCCGGGCCCCATATATTCAAATATACGAAATATAAACTATATAAAAAACATATAAATGTATATTGGCGACACATGGTGATGTATTGGCGCAATTTCGCCAATGCTGTGACGTGGATACGTTCAGCAGTTTTAGCCCTGAACCTTCAACACACTTTCTCGCCAGTGCTCTGATGGCTTGGTGAGTATCGTAATGCATAGTCAGCGCAAGCATCCCATTGGACATGGTTGCAGGCACAACTTGTGTCAAGGAACATGTCCTTGATGTAACAATATCCCATTAGCGGCGTAGTGCTTCTGATGGACCTGAGGTGAGCAGTTGCAACTTCCACAACTATTCTTCTTAGGCAACATTTAAGTGGCACAAGCCTTCAAGTGACAAGCCAGACAGCACGCCATTCACTTTGACCGGAATGTGAGACAGGCGTTCCCTGTTCTTCGGGCGATATCTGGGTTTTACCGTATACGATGCATGCATGGCATGCATACGTGTATTATCTGCTAACCATGCATCGTCCCAGGGACCCACCATACACATCTGCCGTCTGCCTTGCAAGTGTCAGCCTCTGTTTTGCCAGAACATGCCTGGATATTGACAAAAAAACAAACGCAAATAAATTAATGAGAGTTGAGCACACAGAGTCGGCAAATGCCATGAACAAGGGACATGCTGAGTGATGTGCAATGAGCGCCTTGTGGGCCCGTCTGATTCCATGCAAACTCGGAAAATTGGTTCGAAATGCAATGTACCCCACGTCTGCTACTGAAAAGGGACCTCGCACTGCTTTGCTTTGCCCAATTTCATCTTCGTGATCTAGCTGATTCGGCCAGTGTCCATGGAAACACGATGAATCGACAAAGCTTGGCAGCTGGCACAGCGAGCAGCTTCACTACAAGCCAAAGCGCCGACGAAAGCCTGACTGATCGGATTCTCTACAGCGACGAAATTCGTGGTTCCAGACGCCCAGAACTGCGATTCCCAGGACTAGAGACAGGCACGGCACCCTCAAAACGTGCCCTTCAATGCTTTGCAGGTGCCTCGGGGTTGAATTTGTTGATGCTGTCGAATGTATCGACCGAATTTGCCTGTTCGCCAACGAACACCAAATGAAACAGCAGTGTTGGCGATGCCAAGCGCGATGTCATTTCGACATTAAACGATGCCACCACAGCTGCTTTGATGCCATTTAAATCACTGTAAGGGCATTATTCTTTTTCAAAATGACATCGCAGATGACATCTTCAGAATGGTGTTTCCACCAGCGAAAGTGGGCTTGCCAAGAGAGATCATCACTTCTCCACGTCTCCAATATTGTATCTGCGCTGCCAGCGGGACAATGCCGATCAAGCAAATGCCCACATGTCAACGTTTACAAGCGCTGATGTGTGCGTCAACGTTGCGCCAATGGTGACACACAGGTCCAGCTGCAGCGCTATCCGGTGTTGCATCAGTGATGCTGTGCACACACTTTGCATCAATTTCTAACTTTCTCAAGTTGGTTGACGCCCGCACACCCCGCCATTGAGATGCCCAGCGCGTCCGACGGACATTGGAACGCCTGACCACTCTTCCCGCCGGCGAGTCGTACAGCGAAGGGCCGGAGAATCTCCTCTCCATCAGGTCTGCTGGGACGGGCGCAGGGGATTGGGGTGCAGAATATATTAGTCCCTCTGTCTTTTCCGTGTGAACCCCTTCTTCTTCCGCTCACAAGGCCAACGCCGGTCAGCGGATCAGTGGTTTTTAGGGTTCAGGGTATCCAGAAACAAGATGGGATCCACACCAAAAGACACAGCGACTGATCTCATGCAATGGCGATGACTCACTGATCCGGGGCGGCGTGCGCGGTCTGGCGGGCATGTTTGGGCTGACGCGAAGCAGCCCGCTCCCGCCCCCTGTCACTCGGCTCCCGCACCGCCCCCCGCCACCGACGTTCGCCAACGCCCGAGCTTCAACCCCAGGCTTCGGTGGCGCTCCCTCCTCCCATCCCCAAACCCCAAGAGCTGGGCCGAGGAGGGCCGAAATGTTTCAAGGGCGCCGGTCGGGGAAGCGATCGACGGTTGAAAGCTGGTCTTCTCGAAAGCCGGCCAATCGATGGGCATGGTGGGCGATGTTTGGCGCCAGGCGATGTTTGGCAGCGGTCGCGGCCGACGTTGGCACCTCGAGTGCGAGGGCTGCGGAGGTGCCCAGAACGAGCGAAAAGCGGCGCCAAAGGGACTGCAAACGTGTAGCGAGGTCCGTTTCGCAACATGCCGATTGCGTTCAGGACATGGGCGGCGCGTTGGGAGGGGGGCGTCGGGCGATAGGAGAGGTTGCGGACTGACCGTTGACTCACCGCGACCGCAAAGTAGAGGTCGGCCAGCTCCTTGTCCCTGGACCTCCTCACCGCGTCGGCCGCCACGGCGTCAATGGGCACGCAGGCGTCGGTGCCGGGCACCAACCGGCAGGCTTCGGCCGCCAGCGGGAGGCGCGTTGGACGAGCGGCCTGGGCAACCCGGCACACACAGGGCGATCACGGTTCTTTGAACGGATAACGTTGCTGCCATGCGGGGTGCAGTTGTCCGGAGCCGGTCAGAGATTCAGCCAAAGTGTGGGCCAGAGTTGGTTTCCTCGGCCACTAACGGGTGGTCCCGGTCGTTTCCCGGTCGCGCGGTCCTTGCAAGCAATCCCAACTGGGGGAGTGGGGTGGGTGGGCGGAGGGGGCCACGGAGGGGGCGCGCCAACGAACGATGGCCACGTTGATAGGGCGGCAGTTTCTTCTTGATACTGGAAGCGTGCAGGGGCGCGGGCGTCCAAGGACGGGCAAAGGAGGGGTGGGCGGGTTCCACGGCGTGCTGGCCCCCTCACCCACCCTTGAGGCGTCGTCGAGTCGCTAAAACAGCCTAAAAACGCTGCAGGGCAAATCCACGCACGAAGAATTGCCCCCAAAGGTTGGTTGTTGGCCTCACCTGCGACGGGGCGAAGCCCCAGCCCGCGCAGAGCACCATGACCAGGCATACGCCAACGGCCCACGCTCGACCGCCGCCACGCGCCGCCCCATGCTCGACTCCGTCAATGCGCGTCACCGCACTTGAACGACCACGCACACGCACATGCACGCCCTCGACCGCGCTTTGTGCGAGGAGATCCCAAAATCGCATCCGGTCGAGATGTACGCAGGGGGGCGCTGGACCCTCCCCCGGCGCCGCCGGCCTTTGACGGGGGCCTTCAGCTGCCTGAGCAAAGTTTGCCTTTGAACGGGTCAAGTTGACTTTGCCGTTGTCGCCGCTGGCCAGGGGGCGGGCCTTCAGCGTGGGGCGCGGAGGAGGAAAGGTCGCGCGATCGACAAACGGGTTGATCTCCACCACGACTTGTATGTCGCTGGCCGCGGCGCATGCACACGTCACGGACGTGGAAACCGTACGTAAGGCACCCTCGCACGGCATGTCGCCTTGGCGGGCTGGAGACAGCAGAAGGATGCTGTCATGGTCATCATCATCAAGAAATCTGATTTGCCAAGGCGGGCAGATAGCCACCAGTTCCTTAGTTCGCCCTATTTCGCTGAAAAAGCTTATTTCGCCCTTATTCCGCTTTTTGGGCGCTGTCAACCGGACCGGCCCAGCAAATTTGTTTCTGTCTTCTTGTCTTGTCCTTTTGTTTTTTTGGGCAGTGGTTTAGTGGTGGCTTTTGTGGTTCCGGTGGTTTCGAACCTTGTTCTGGTGAAAAGTGATACAAAGTTCAGTACTTCACAGTGCCTGCCTGCTTGCAGTAATCTGCCCTGAAAGGGTGGTTTTGGTGGTGGGTGGTGGGAGACTGAAGGGGGGCTTTGAAGCAAGAAGAACGACGAAAGGTATAATTTGCATTCTTTTTCTACATTCGATTCAATGTTAAGTTGAACGCCATTGCAAGGTGAATTGCAGTGGCTGTCAATGTGACTGCAGGTTGACAAAGGAAACTTTTAGACCAACTCCCCTTGTCCACATGGCACATCATTACATGCAGTCACTAACTATGGTAGTTAGAATACTGAAGGGTTCATTGCGTCAGCTCAGGGAGTCATTTCACAGAAACGTCACCACCCCTGGAGCGTGAAAATGGTGAGCCTCACAATTTTGCTATACGAACAGCACACTGCATCTGCTGATGGTGACCAGATAATTTCGCATTTCACATATTCGTGCAGCAGCTGCTGCGGAACGGAATTCATTTTAGGTGCGACGATTTCCAAACATGATTCGACATTGTTCATCATATTAATTCGAAAGGATCATAATCACCTCGTCATTGACTCCTCGTCAATCAGAACGGACGTCAGCGAGAATTCCCGTGAATCACAATGGGCGCCCACCGCCTTCAATGCAAATATCTGCCCGTGTTGGGCAATTCGGCTCGAAGGCCGTCCAGCTGTCGCTCCCCAGACATCCTGACGTCGCGAGCGATGAGACAGCTGCAGGAGGAGAGGCCTCGAAGAAGGTACAACATTGCGATGGAGAAGTGAGGCGAGTGAGGTGAAGTGAGGCTGCATGGAGCATTTCTACGCCATGCGTGTCACATGAAAGAAGCAGCTTAGCATGCAATAGTTGAAAGATCATTAGTATTTGAAGCCTTTTGTTATTATTGGCTGTGAAACGCAGCTTAGGTGGGTTGTGTTTGATCCTTGTCCAGTAGTGCTCATATTTTATTAGTAGTAAAAGAAGTATAAGCAGCGTTGGCTAATCAAATAGCATTTTTTTCATTCCTACCAGCTGACTCAGCCATTAAACAAAATGGTTGGGCAGCGCCATCAATACCACATTGTCAGCGACGGGATTGCATATCGGTACAAGACAAGACCAACAGCAGGGTGCATTATTAATGACAGTCAATAAACATTCATTGCGACTGCGATGGGAAGTGTGTCCCAGGGTTTTGGGTATCCATGGGGTTTGGCGGTGGGCGGCCTTTGGGAAATGGGGATCAACATGCATATAGTCGTGAGGGCTGTCTGTTGCAAAGGGTGCAATTCCAGGTGTCCTTCGGGTGCGCCGGTGCACTGGGGCTGTCTGCACCTCCATGGACAACAGTGCGGGGCTTTTTGGTGGGTGGGCGGCCTGTGTGTTCCACGCTCGCACACAGTTCAGAGACCTCCAGGGCGTTTCTTTCCTCTTCATATCTACAATTCACACCTTACCATTACTCTTGTTTCCCAACAAACATTCGTTTATTGAAAGGAAGCCATGCCAGTGCCGTTTCTGAGCAGATGTCTCTGCCGTATTAAAAATTCTGAATAATGGAAGGAAGAATATTGAATAGATAATACTACCTCTGTTCTATACTGAATGTCCACTGTATTTTGACGCATCATTCATCTATCGCAAATACTTCATTTTTCAGTGAAATATTGTCCAAGACTGTGCTTATGAGTTTATAATATGCACTCAAAAAATCATATCAATCCATTAAGCACTGTGGATTTGGCAGCACTTTGCAACAAAAGCCCTTTGCCCAGTAAACCTCGAACTTCTAGCTCAAAAATGGCCAAACACACGTTTCGCCCAGAGCTCAAAGGGGTCAGGCCTGACGTTTTCTTTTTGAGATTCGGTACTTAAGGTTTCTTGGACACAATCTTTTCGATTCTGACCTCCTTTCAACTTCATGGCGATCATCTCCCAGTTTTTTTGTAATTTTGGGGGCATCTTTGTAACTAAATTTGTCCTTCAAACAAACGGCATTGATGTAGAGCAGAGGAAATGGAACAACAGAACGTGGAATGACAATAGATTGATAGAGTAATGGAGTTACTGTATAAGTAAAAAAGTTTGCGCGGAAAAATTTTTGCGTATTTCGTGCGGAAAAAAGCAGGCGCGGAAAAAAGTTCGTGCACTCGTCGGTGCGCGAACTTTTTTCCGCTGCGAACTCTTTTTGCCCACAAAAATTTTCGCCGCGCGAACATTGCGGAACCTGGCTCCTGCCGCCCTTGACCTTCGCCAGGGGTGGCGCCATTTCTTATTGTGCTGCGCCGCCCCCCGGCCGCCGTCCTGACCCTCCGGCTGCCGCAGACGAATAGCACGAGCGGCCTGGTCAGGGAGATGGCCCCTCCTCACTGCCAAGATTCGGCTGGCCAATGGCCATCAGCAATCGATCTGGCACGAGCGATCTGCCCGCCAACTCAGGGCTCCTTCGGGGCAGCCACTGGACGGGGGCTCTAGCTAGGCTTTTGCAGAACTAGAAACTGGGAGGAGAATAGAGCCACCTGGTCAGGGAGATGGCACTTCCTCACCGCCAAGATTCGGGTGGCCGATGGCCACCAGTGAGAGCGATTGGTTGACGAGCTCAAGACTCCCTTGGGGCAGTCGCTGCTCATCAAAAGACCACCGCACGGGGCAGTCGTCATTGTGCAAAGCCAACGGGCCATAGCGCGGGAAGCGCCCGACCTATTTGGGAGGAGGCCGAAAAGTTCGCGGGAGAAAAATGTTCGCAAGGCAAAATGTTCGCGCGGAAAAAAGTTCGCGCAGTTGCTCAAGCGCGAAATGTGCAAACTTTTTTCCCGCGCAAACTTTTTTACTTATACAGTAGTTGTGACGTGGTTACTTGGGGTTAGGCTATAATTGATATTTCTGAAGCGGCGGTTGGTCAAAAAAGTGCAAATACATTAAAATCAGCTTATTCAGGAGCTCCTAATGCCAATAGCACCTTGAAACGTCCAATTCCGTGTAGAAATGGCAAAGTTATGGCCAGTTGAAGTTGCAGTACTTTAGCATGGGATTCGGACCGGTAGATAGAAGCATTGGGGATTATGCGGAGCTGATTTAGGTGAACGGTGGACGGTGACGATGTGCCTGGACGCGCACTTGTGTTGTCTTGTCTTGATGTGACAGCGATGGACCTGCGATCGGGCATCGCGCATGCGGATTTGTGCGCACGCATGCAGGGAATTCGTGTAACAGTTCTGGCCCACTGTCTGGTCTCTCCGCGACCAGCGAGCCACCGACTGGCTGCGCCACCACCCGCCACATACAGCAGGCCCCGGGGGGCGATCCCCATCGTTCTGGGCCCACCGCGCATCCGAGGGAACGAGCGCCCCGCTTCAGCCCACCGAGTTCGGTGGAGAGGGCTGGCTGACCTCCAACAGCCAAGCCGCAGGGCGTGGCGACCCCACGAGCTTCGGAAACCAGCGGCGCCCTTCAGGGCCGCAACAGTAGTAATCTTAGTAATCCAAACACCGTGCTGGAAATCCACACTGTTCCTGATACAGACCATTGTGACGGGGACCGTGACGGTGACAGAGATGGTGACAGAGACGGTGACGGCACAAAAATTTGCATATTTTCCTGCGGATCTCCAGAGACGATCTTGTTCTCGTGTCCAAGCAGAGAGACTGGCGAAGACGGGTGGAGACGGGTGGAGACGGGTGGAGACGGGCAGAGACGGGCGAAGACGGGCGGAGACGAGCAGAGACAGGCACCGGACGGCCGCAAGAAAGCGGAGACGGAGAGAGGGCGGCAGTGCGGCTCACACGAGCCCTTCGGCCTGTCGATCTGGTAAGTTTGACATTTCGGTACAAATCGCGATGTGGGCGATGCTTGATGCGGGAACAATTGCGCTATTAGTTGAGTGATCGTCCTATTTTGGTTCCAGTCACGGCAGATCTTGTTCCCTTTTATTGTAAGTTTTGCATCGCTCTTCTAATCCTGTAGTGACTGGACACCGTACTGTACATTGACGAGTAATTAGACGACTTAGATGAGTTAGATGCGTTCATCTGAGTCTAGAAATGTGTTAATCATGATCGCCACATTCATCTTGTTAAATGGGCCAATTTTCGGTACAATAAAATTATTAAGGCAATTTAAATCATTTAGCCCATTTCTGGCCATTTGGGGCATTATTCCTTGATGGAACCGGTGTGATTATGAACATTATAGTCTATTATAATGTGATGCGCGGTCATGGGCGGATGGGAGCCGCCAAGAAGTGGTGGAGTACATTCCAAGGGATTATGGGGTTGATCCGGCAGTACGGGCACCTGTTAGGTATCCGCATTGCATTGGATCACAGGTACAAGCGCCCCTAGGGGCATGGTACATTGGAGGGACGTGGTATAGCTTAGGAAAGCCGCCTGGTATTACTAAAAGCACGCCAAGGGGCCAAGGGACCATGTGAGTGGTTCTCCAAGGGCCGAGGTGGCATTACAGGAGGCCGAGGTTGGCATTACAGGATTGTATTGGACATTACAGGAGGCCAAGGGTGTCATGACGAGAGGGGGAGCGCACTACCTATAAAAGTGGGCACCCCATAGGCCATTTGTCTCAGTTCGCCGGTGCACTCGACCTTGTCTAGACCAAGGGGCCCACCACCGTTATAATACATTGCCGACTGCCGCCAATCTGCCTCGATTTGATCGCCATTATCCTGGGGGATTCTACAAATCCCAAGTAGGACCTCCCCAACAAGTTGGTGTTGGTGT